GCCGAACCACCGCTTTGTACAGTGAAAGAAAGATCTCAGGTTTAGTAATACCCACTGGTCTCCTGAGACGAAAGAGTTCCTGCCGCGCTCTGTTAGCAGCATATTGACACCGCTTCGAATGCCTGAAGCTCTCAACCATATTGATGCCCAAGTCCCTCGCCTTATTTACATACTGCAATGTCGGACACCCTGTGGATGTCTGTACCGTAATCCCAACGTTATTGGATGATAACAGCTGACATTTGTTCGCGTCAAGGCGATGATTAAACTCTGTCAACGTGGGTGACAATACGACGTCCTCGGGTAGCGCATTCTAGAAATTTATGATTTTACGCGACAAACCAGTGTCAGCCCGAACCCGATCAGATCGGAATTTGTGCAACTTCAACGGATGCACACTGAGAGTTGGTAACTGGGCAGGATGAAAAAGCCAGGGTAGGTCTGTGCCGATCCGCCCTGTTAAAATACGATAACTAATTATTAACTTGCCACAAAGACAGATAGTGTAGTGAGAGCATTCTTAGCTTGAGCAATGTCCATGTTGGTAAAGTGTCCCGTGTACAGTGCCACTGTTCGGCGGTGTTGCTGTATGAAAGTAAGTCGTGGCCAGTTCGCGTGGATGACATGCGCCGTCTCTCGGTTTTTGACATTTAGTGCTTGAGGTGAATTGCTCATGTGTGGTAGCAGCAACGGATTTACAATGATGAGGTCCGACTTCGTGTCTTAGGGGATGCGAGTATGCCACACAACAAGTTGGTTTTGCTGAGCCAGCTAAGATGGCTTGGTCACATTTTGCGTATATCAGCGGAGCCTTTGCCTTATTGCGCCCTTTTCGCTCGTGCAGGGCTTGGCTGGAAGAGATTGCGTAATGACCGGTCGTCCACTTGACGTCAGCATATAAAATCGTTGACTTCACGTTTTGCTGCCGTTGGATCCACACGCTTGCCTGGTTGGGGCCCAAAGGACGAAGAGTGCCGATGGTTAGAAACAATTCAGGATATGGCGCGTAGTCGAAACCGGTGGAAAACTTGTGTACATAATTGTTTAGATGCAGTTGCCTACTCCTCAACAGTTGAAAAAGACAATAAAAGGAAAACTCACGTGTGAAAACAGTCTGAAAACCGTATTGTTCTGCCTACGGCACAATAGCTGAAGTGTGTTGCTCGCCTTCAGCTAATGCACCATGATAATGTGTATTCTTATGAATTCCATGGTTTTGTTTAGCTCTATGTCTGTTCGATGGACTGTTGCCAATACATACATGGTTGGCGGCATCCGGTTTCGGGTCTGCCTGTCATTGTGGCCAGCCACAGGACGCCTACGCATACAGAGCGACCATGGATGGCTTGCGCTGCAACACCCACAGCTCCATCCACACACCCAATATCCAATGTAAACCCGAAGTAATAAGACCATCCACACACATGGTTGGCGGCGCCCGGTTTTGGATTTGTTTGTCATTGTGGTCGGCCACAGGACGCCTGCGCCTACAGAGAGACCATGGATTGCTTACTCTGCACCACCAACAGCTCCATCGACACACCCCATATCCAGTGTAAACCCGAAGAATTAAGCCCGGGAGACATGCGGATGGGAGCCACGTCTCATCAAGTGAGCCGGCCCACACTCCTTCACAGGCGAACCCAAGCACGCTGTATTTGGGGAAACAAGCGCACACAAGCCGGTGGCTGGACTGTAGTCCGCTCCACACTGACTGCATAGAACCATTCTTCGAGCCTAGCACAACCACAAGAACCGTGCACCTCGTTCTCACTAGCAACGACCAGCTGTCTCCTAGAGCCAGTATGGACGAGGTAATGGGTAATAAACAGGTCGGCATCTTGTCAACATGCACATCAAGCGCAGCCACACCGGGGATATCAAGCAACAGCCACTCACGTGAGACGACAAGTTGAAATAAAAGTAATCGGAGAATGCATACGGATACGGAGACATAACTCTTCACTAAATGGTCGTATAAAAAAATTGATCACCAACGAATCCGCGATAAGTTCAAGAGGTCAGAAAAATATTTTAAGGAAATGCCACAAACGCGAAAATGTTAATGAAATTAACTGCAATTAGCCTCAGCAACGTGTGCAAGTTTATAGATAGTACAGGTAGACAATAATATGAGAAACTTAGGATAAAATTGAAACCCACTACCTGAAATAAAGGGACTTAGAATGCAAGTACTGGGTTAGTAAATCAAATTCAGCGTACCTACAAACGTTGCGCCGGTTTTGCCTACATTCTCTGCAGGACCCGTCGTCGCTTCGGTGGTGGTCCCGAGTGGCCTCGCTCATGGCTCACTAGGCCTTTCCTGACTCAGGCACTCGCGAACGCATGTGCTACAGCACCATGCACTCGACGTCGATGGAGTACAACCCATCGGCGCCTGCTGTTTCCTCAATTGCAGCTTCATGTTTGGCGGCATCCGGTTTTGCATTTGCCTGTCACTGTGGTTAGCCACAGGACGCTTGCGCCTACAGAGGGACCATGGGTGGTTTGCACTGCACCACCCACAGTTCCATCCACGCACCCCATATCCCGTGTAAACATACATACATACGTTGTTCCTTTTGTACATAACTAATTTGTCTCCGCTCCTGGAGAACCCTTGTTGTCTTTGCACACTATGTAAAACTTTTAAACGGGTGTGATCGATGCACGAGGTCAAAATAAGTCTGCACTGTAGCGAGATGGTTTTATGGGATTTGCTCCTTAATTCCGATAAATGTCAGTTGTCTTCCAGCAACCATGAGGTTACATTGCAAACTACTGCCGGTACCCTGACTTTGCGACCCGTTGATGAGGCTGAAGATTTGGGTATCCTTCCCACGAATAACTTCAAAGTCTCAACACAGTCTCAGCATGCCGCCAACAAGGCACGGCAGAAATTATTCTGTCTCAAGAGCACTTTATGCAATGCCAAACCATAGGTTTTCTCTTAATATGTAAGACAATGGTACGACCTCACTTGGAGTACTGTGTCCAGGCATAGGCGCCGTATCTCCGGAAGGATGTGACCTGCATAGAAAAGGTCCAAAAACTGGCGACTAGGATGATTGAGGGCCAGCGCGGGAAATCATACGATGAACGCCTAAGGGGCCTAGGATTGTTCTCTATGGAGCGGCGCAGAGTACGAGGTGACCTGATAGATTTTCAAGATTATGTAGGGCCTCCGCAGGATCAAGCCTTGCGGTTTGTTTGAACTTGCTGCACCCGACCACTCACGGTGGAGTAAATTTAAGATTAAGCATCAGAGGTCCAGGCTGAAGAATAGGGACAAATTCTTTGCAAATCGTGTTGTTAATAATTGGCACATTTTTTCTTCTACCTTAATTGAAAGTGCCACTGTAACAGCCCTCAAAAAAGGCCTAGATAAATGTTGGCCGCATATTTTTCCGGAATTATTGTAAATTTGTTGGCATTTGTCGACCTTGAGGTCCTTGATCCAAGAAAGTACAGAGGTTGCTTTTGTCTAGCTTCATTACTTTCGCGGAGCCAAGGAAGACAACTAAAAAGTCGAAGTACTGGGGACCCTGGTATGCTTTCCGGTACAAGAAACAGGACGCTCGTTAGGCGGGAGCGTATTTTCGTCCTTGGAAACTGACCTGACCTTGTGGTTGCGATATGAGAAAGCAGCCATCTACGAGGTATTTGCTTTCCATTGCAGCCCCCCAGGTCTCATGACCTACGTACGCACTTGGCACTGACTCCTCGACTGGACGCATACTACACATTTGGCGACGCTGCCAGTTCCCGACGGCAGTCCCTGAAGCTGGGTCGTTGCCCTTGCGGCGATCACTAATTTTCCGGTGACCACACTGCTCGTCGCGGAACCTCTCGAACTTAGCACACGGCGCTCATCACTTGTTTTGTACATCAGTAGATCGAGGACATCGCCTATCAACTGGGAAATAATGTTACAGGTCCAAGCATAGCCTTGTAGTGGTCCAAAAAAGTAAGATTGTTGTATCAGTCAGAGTATCATTGTATTAGGAGAATAAGATTACAACCTGTGTCATTTTCATCATAAAAGGGGTAAAAGCGTAACACCATTACGCCATAATGGTCTGTGTACGTCGCGTCTCTGCTCGTCTGGTATCGGCGACGCAAAATACGGTATAAAAAGCCAACGGTAGGATTAAGTGTCTCTGTCCTGTAGGACCGCGAAAGTAGCCGTAACATGTCCATTGGACGATAGGAGATCGAGTATAGCATTCGCATCGAAACGTAAGTTACCAAAGTTATTGTCAATTCGTTGCTTGAAACACGGCACAGAATTTGCGAGAATAACAGAACTGGGTAATTAGTTCCAGAAATATATCACACGACGAACGATGCAATGAGAATGACTAACATGTTCCACAGGTGGAATTTTCAGTTTATGCACATGCCCACAGGTGATCGATATACCTGCAATGCGGAACACCTACACCTCAGATGAGGAAAGCGCAACTAGTGAATAATTCTGAAGGTTGTAATGCGATCAGTTCTTAATATCCTGTACACCAAATTGTGAAGGCACTATTTTTGGCACCTTTATTGATAGGATAAGCCACGGTGTGGGAATCAATCGAGTGGCCAGGTACTGCACCTCTAGTTTCTTTATCTCGCCCTTCGTACCGGGATAGTAGGCCGGTGCACAGTATTCCAACAGCGGGCGCATCAATGCAACATACAGCCTGGTAGCAGTTTCCTCTGACCAAACATAGTGTGTCCGTTTCAGAGAAAAAAAACATGCGAATGCTGGACCAATAAATTTTGCGCGTACTGTCCATAGATCTTAAATCCCGTCGGGATAATACTCCGAGATCCTTTACTGTTGTAACTGGGTATAGTCGTCGACCGCTGCCACTGTTCCCTCTGTACCTCAGTTAAACGGCCATTGATGCTTCCTCTTTTTTACCTTCACGTTTCCTTTACTATTGTCTCTTATTAGGTGTTTGCGATATGAACACGCAGCCAACTATGAGGTATTTGCTTTCCATTTCAGTTCCCCAGGTCTGTCACGACCTACGTACACACTGAGTACGAAATCGTCGACCAGACGCATACTGCATTTTGGTCACTGTCTCAGTACCTTTCGTGCCTAACAGAAGCCAATTGCTGTTCTCACTACGATGGCGGTTGTTGACGAGAATGCTCCACCTCAATGCTGCTCCATCTGTCACGAAGACATCGATTTCTACGCTTACGGAGCTTGTAATCACCCAACATGCACAAAGTGCATTCTTAAGCTCCGAAAATTCGGAAGTGCAGATGAGCCAGATTTTTCTAAGTGTCCTACCTGTCGAAGAAACTTGAACCGAGTAAGCTGTTGTGCTACTTCATAACGTTTTAGATTCTAATAATGGACAAATTCGTGCCCTTCGATAAGGTGAATACAGCTGAGATGCGGCACGATGTTTCCTTTGACTTTATGTTCCCCTCTAAAGAAATAGAGGATCATTACACCCATATGTTGAAATCATTTTGCCCAGTTTGTGGCGTGGAGATGAAGTCTTTGTCAGCGCTTAATCGTCACACTAATGCAGCGCATCAAATGTCTTATTGTGATCTGTGCATCCGTTATTCAAGGGTATGTTTCTCGTTGTTGTTACGACGACGTGCAGCTTCTTCCCTGCGAATCAGTCCTCATGACTCCGGCTGAACTAGCAGAGCATAGGAGGTGGGATAAAAAGAAGAAAAAGGGCCACCCACTGTGCAACTTTTGCCAGGAGCGGTTTTATGAATTTGAAGATCTTGTCCACCATGTTCGTGATCGTCACTTTCTCTGTGATCTTTGTAACAGCACTGGAAAATTCGTGGTTTTCAGGTAAGGTTTATTTTTCTTTTATCGCGACAGCCTCCTCTTTATCTTCTTGTGTCTTCATCCTGAAGCTTATTTATTCAACTTTTCTATAACAAATTAGTTATTATTTTGCTCTACCTGAACCAGTATGCCACATCATTCTCAGGTGGTTCCTTTTCTTATTCAGTATCTATGTGTCTGTTTGCTCTATGTCTAGTTACTAGACTGCTGAGATTACATACATACATACATCTATGTGTCTACCAAGCTTAGTTGTTCCACACAGATTTGGCCGATCTTCAGAAGCGTTGGTGGTCACGTGCTGACCTTAGATCATTCCAGAACGTTCGAAATCCATGCGCTAATCGTTACCAATCGACTAATCACTGAAATAATGGATTTTCCGGGCACTTCTTATTTTCTCCCGGACAGTGCTCCCTAGCAGTCGGTCGGAATTCGAATTTTAGAGCATTTCCCATAATCTGTGTTACTGAAGTGCGGTATGAACGCTTAGCAACTGGGGCTACTGGTGCTTGCTGCCTATCATTTATCAGAATTCATCTGTCCCGGTAGAGCCCAGGTCTGATCTTTTTATGTTGACCTTTCGGGCCAAAAATCAAGGTTGAGTGCATTGATCGTTTTGCTTGGCTTTGGTCACCCATGGTTGTCTCATGTGACTTGTTGCTTATGCCAAATCGAACATCGCGTGATTTCAAGAAACACTTATCCGCAGATAAGGAAATGCAAGCTACAACAATGGCTTCCCTCCTTTTTATCCCTATGTTTTGCCCCTCCGTCTGCGGGACTACCGTCGCAGCAAGACTAGACCTTAACGTGGCGCGACGGTTTGCTTACTTCTTCGACCCACTTTGCTATACTAGAGGTGCCCCTGACCGCGTGTGCGCTACTCCTATCAGGTTGCTAAATGGTTAGAGACCAATCAAACTCAGTCTGCTGGTCCTCCAGGTTGGGTGTTTGAAATGGCATGACGTCCATTACTGTAAGACCACATCACTACCACCTCCCCGCTACTTTGCGGACAGGTTATTGTGCCAAACAGTGATTGAGAATCCTAATCGCCCTCCTGTCTAGATCCGAGCGCCCTGACGGTATCTTAGCTCACGTGCAACCATGACTATTTTTCCAAACTTCCATCACATCCTACATCAGCCGTCGCGCAGCTTATCAAGTCGCCTTAACTGCTGCATACAGCAGGGTGGAGAAGCGCAATCGTGCTATTGCTGGTATCATTCTTTCCTTTCCAACCGTTTCTCTTACTCCCATCCCAATCTCTATTACTAACCCTCCTGTAATTTCCAGCTTAATTGACAGCGACCGTAATGTCATTGAAGCCGACCCATCTGCAGTTACCTTCTCGCACCACCAACTGGGTGCCTATCGGCAACAATCCCTTATTAGGCCACACTCGTTTCCCTTGGGCGCTTGACATTCGCACTATATGACAAATAGACCAACAGGCAGCACTCGCACGCACATTGGACACCCTGGATATTGACGTGCGTTGCGTATCCGAAACTAGAATCGGTGACTCTCACGCGATTGTCGAATTACTTGCATCCGTTTTGTCCTCTCGCTATTCGTTGCACGCATCTGGAGACGCTGATGCGGCAATCATTGGTCAAGCTGAGATTGGCTTCCTCAGCTCCAAGCCTGTCATCATTGCTTGATCGGATTCCGGTGAACAGCCGTTTCTGTGCAGCCCGTTTGATGACATCAACTGAAATTGATTCACGAAGTAGCACAAGGCACAGGTTTCCGCTTATTCCTCCACCGAATGAAGTTCCGATGCTGCCAAGGACACATTCTACCATGAACTGAACACGCAGCTTCGCAGTGTTATTGTCGCTTGGATATGAATACGTCAGTAGGTCACCTGGGCTCTTCAGAAGCTCAGCTAAGTGGTGAGTATAATCTTAACTCCGACCGTACGGACAACGGCTAGCATATTTTGTAACTGTGCGCAGAGTATCAGCTGTTTCTTAGCAGCACCGCTTTTAGACGCAGTGGGCACTGAAGTGCCACTTAGCGTCCTGTAGCTGACCAGCGATGGACCCAAATGGATCACATTGTCATGAGTTACCAGTGGTGTGGCTCAATCCTGCGTTGTCGCTCCTTCTGGAGTACTTGCGTCGACTGCTCATGTTTTGGTACGTCGTCGTTTTTCCATCAAATTTACCGGGGGTGGGGTCTCCAACGATTGGCTACTGTGAAGTTATTTCAGCCCTGTTAGGCATGCCTACTAGGAAGTCCTACATACTGAATTTTCGCACTCCTATGCTAATGACACTGAGATTCAGTGGAATGGAATCTCCGCCACCATGCACGACGCAGGAGCATCTGCTTGTAGCACTATCAATCGTCACCGCATCAGTCACTAGATATCCGAGAAGTAGGTGAATCTGTTGGAATACAGAAGATAATTGCTGGCTGGCTCTGAGCATAATGTGACCAGACGAGCTATTAGGTGCGAACTAAAGCAGAGCATATGTACTGACAAGGAAGCCTGGTGGACCAGTAGGGCTCAAGAAATGGTGGAAGCAGGAGCAGTGGACAATTATCACAGGCTCTTCCAGCTGATCCGCACAACTGGTCCCAGAAAATCAGGCGTCAGGGAGACAATCAGAGACAGGACAGGTGCCCAATAAGGAACGCCGGGTGGCTTGTTGGGCGGAACACTGACAAGATCAGTTCAGCTGGCGCCCTTCTCCCGGACTTCTTCCTACGCAGATGATACAGGATGAGCCTTCGTCAGAAGCTGAGCTTCAGCATGCGATCGCAGCCCTCAATCTTTTTTGTGCTGCTGATCCGGATCCCCTCCCACCCGTACTATATAAGGATAGAGGTGAGGTCCTTTGCAAAGCACTGACCTCTGTTCGAGGCAAATCTTGAAGGAAGTAAATCGTTTATATTGACAATATACAAGAAAGGCAGTCGCACAGACTGTTATAACAACAGGGGTATTAGCCTAAGGTTAGTTGTGACAAAATTACTGGCCTCGATTCTCGTTCGTCGCTTCACTACGAAACAGGTATTCCTGAGTAAAGAAGAGCCCTTGACGTGACTCACTTTGCGGCAGGTTCTAGGGCAGCGCAACACCTATCACAGACCGACAATAGCTGTGTTCCTCGACTTCAAGGGTGCGTGCGACTCAGTCGATCGATCTATTCTGTTCGAAATAGTAGCGCGGAAAGGTGTTTGCATGAAGTATCGTGCGCTATACTCGAACAAGACAGGCTGCCATGGGTTATCGAACATTTTCCTGACAACTAGTGGTGTTCGTCGAAGTTGCCCAATTTCGCATTTTTTGTTTAACTTCCTCGTGGACTGCATCATGGAGTGTTCCCTTACGGAATCTCACGATGTTGGCGTTAAGGTGCTGCTTGGTGCAAGGCTAGTTTATCTTGATTATACGCACGAAATCGTCTTGCTGTTTAACGAGGTTGTGACGGCCCTGCCAACTCTGAATACCCTCTCTAGTGTAGTCCCATTTTTTGGCATGCGCTTCGCACCTTCAAAGTGCAATGTTGTTATAACATGACTAGTCACTTGGTGACCCCTTCATCCTTGAAAGTGAGGTAGTTGCTCAATTCACTTACCCTGCCAGCTGCGTCAGCAACACTGGATGCTTAGAAACTGAAGTCACTTCACGCGTTGGAAAGCCAGAACTGTTTTCTTTATCTGCGACATGATTTGGCGACAGAACGGAGTTTCTGTCTGAAAGGCTGTGTAAATAAAGCCACAGTGAGTGCCGTCCTACTCTATGGAAGACTTGGCCTTTTCGATCTGAGGCGCGTTCAAGTCTCTGATCATCACCGTCTTCGGAGCCTTGCGAGTCTCGGTTGACTCCAGCGTGTCTGCAAGGATCGTGTGCGTAGGCGAGTATTAGGCAGTGGTAATCAAGCTGGTTTCTTATAGCAACAGATAATGTTGAATGAGTTGCGTTGGCTTGGGTACCTAATACGTATGGCCTGTCACCCCTTACCTAGGCGAGTCTTGTTTAGTCTGCCAGATGTAGCATAACACAAGGCTCGAGATGTGCAAAACTTGACTTGGCATCGGGAAATAAAGTCACTGACGATCAAACTCCGTGTCGTCCGTCCGTATCGCCATCTAGGCCGGAGCCCACGTGACTTATTTTGTGTTTGGCTCGAGACTTTACAGGATGTTGATCGCAGTCGACGCCAGTGGTGCGACTGCTGCCGTCTTCCAGTCTCCCAGCCGGACTGCCTGTTTAAAGTGTTTTGTGCTGAGTTATCTGCGGGCTGATTATGACGCGGGGCAGTGAAAGCCACAAGGAAGCTGTTTCGCGGACGTTGCCTTATATTTGACCGAAAGCCAGTTGTTTGTGACGGCATGTTGTCGACAATATGTAGGCGCCTTGACCCTGAATGTTTGCTTAGGGCATTAAGGTTTTCAGGTAATTTCCCCTTCTTTCCCTCCTATTATTCTTCGTTCCGTAGTTGTACGACAGCCAATCACCAGTTGAAATGGTTGCTATACTGTTGTTGATGACGACTGCGGGACTGACGATACCACTAGAGCCCCGCCATTTTCACCTGTGTCACGACAGTACCCAATAGTGTAGTCAAAAGCTTTCGGCTGGAGACCGAATGAATTACATGCCTGTCTTGTATATGCGGGTGACTTCGCTGTGTGCCCAGCCCGCGCGCAATCAGTGGTGGTCGCGTGGCAGTAAAGCCTTGGTAAGGTTTACCAATGTACTGTTAAATAAGAAAATTAGCATCAGCAGTACACCGGTACGCAGTACCAACTGTTCGCTGCCGTGCAACTACCACCAGTCGCACTGGGCTAGGGATACTGCGAGGGTCACCCGGTCCCCTGCGCAGGCTGGAACGCGCGTCCTCGGATCACGAGGCAGGCTTGTGATACTTAAGGCTACGGGCCGGCACTGGTGTCGGCTTCCCGGTTTCGTTCGCTGCTTCCAACTTTCATATCTTGTGATTTGGTGACAAGGTGCACTTGATAATTGGATTCCCTCTGGTATTGTCTTCTACTGTCTGTTGGCCGTTGGCCTAAAGTGTTACCTGCTTCTTTTGTAATCCGGATGTCACCGGTTCGAATCCAACAAAATTTCAAAAAAACAGCAGTACATCAGCCATTTGAACTGATGATCCACTGCCATACAACCATGATGACCTTTGAAATGAAAAATAATAAGAGGGAGAGAAGAGGGACTTACCTGAAACCCTTAATGCCTTAAGAAAACATTCAGCGTCAAGGCGCAAACACCTTGTGTAGACAACATTCCGTCACAAGCAGCTGGCTATCGTGCAAAGATAAGTCGGCATCGGCAAGACAGCTTGCTTGCGGCTTTCACTGCCCCGCGTCATAATCCGCCATTACCCCGCAGATAACTCAGCACCAAAAACACTGTAAACAGGAAATCCGATTAGGAGACGGCAGCAGACGCGCCACTGGTGTCGGTTGCGAGCCATATCCTGTAAAGCCTCGTGCCAATCACAAGGCGAGTCACATGGACTCCAGCGCGGAAGGCGATAAGGACCAAAGGCACCCAGTTTGCTCGTCAGTGATTTCATTTCACGTTGCCAAGTCAACTTCTATCCACCTCGAGCCTTGCGCTACCCTACATCTGGCAGACTGAACAAGGCCCTCCTAGGTAAGCGGTGACCAGGCATACGTAGCACGTACCCAATCCAACGCAACTTATTCAGTGCTCTCTTGTTCTAGGGAGCTAGCATGATCATTACTATCCAGTACTCGCCTACGCACATAATTGTTGCGGATGTGCTGGTGCCATCCGACCCCAGCAATGATTCGCAGACAACGATTATCAAAGGCCTTAAGACGCCTCAGATCTTCAACCCGAAGGGGCCAAGTTTCACTACCATAGAGCAGGACGGCCCTCACCGTGGCCTTATTTACACTGCCTTTCAGACGGAGGGAAATTCTCTTCTGGCGCCAACGATGCCGCAGGTTCAAGAAGGTTGTTCTGGCCTTTGCAATGCATGAACTGACTTCAGTTTCTATGCGCCCATCATTGCTGATGCAGCTGTCAATGTAAGTGAATTGATCAACCGCCTCGAGTTCCGCGTTAGCAAGGGTCATAAAGTGGCTAGTGGTCTTGCAATAACACTGCACTTTGAAGGGGCGAAGTGCGTACCAAATAATGGGACCACTCTGGACAGGCTATTCAGGGTTGATTGTACCGCCGCAGCATCGAAAAGCAAGACGATATCGTCCGCATAATTAAGATCAACTACCCTTTCACCAAGCCTTATTTTAACGCTTAAATCGTGAGATTCCGCAAGGGAACACTCCATGATAGAGCGAATAGGGAAAATAGGGAAATCGGAGAACCCTGACGAACGCTACTTCCGACAAGTCAGCGTACACCCTGACGCGACTTGTAGTCTTCGAATATAGAGCACGTAGGATGTTCACATATTTCATGGGAACACCTTTGCGCGCAAGTATTTCGAACAGAATCAATCGATTGACTGAATCGATCGCACTCTTGTAATCGAGGAACACAGCTATTGTCGGTCTGCGGTATGCGTGGCGCTGCTCTAGCACCTGCCCCAGAATGAATATATGGTCTATACAGCCACCTCCTGGGCGGAAACCTGCCTGCTCTTCCCTAATCCGAGATTCTTGTTCTGCAATGAGGCGACGAACGAGCATCGAGTCCAGTAATTTTGTCACAACTGGCATTCAGCCTAATATCCCTGTGGTTAGAACGGTTCGTGCGGCTGCCCTTCTGATATATGACCACTATAATCGGTTCACTCTAGTGAGTTTGGACACTTCTTTCCAATTACCATCGAACAGGGAGGTCAGTGCTTTGCGGACAACCTCACCTTCATCCGTACCTAGTTGCCTTGGACAACACCCAAGGATGTAGCTCAATACTGCAATTTGTTTCCGGCTTACCGGACTGGGATCCCAAGGACGATGAGCATGTTTTATTGGGTACACTTTTTGACATGACGGACAACCGACTTCAGTGTCGCTTTTGCTATGTACTTTGTCCTTTCCCTCCCGCTTATCTTCACTCTCCAAACACGATCTCACACTCCAAGCATAACACGATATTTGGCATTACTTTTCTTATCTCTTCTAGTTTTTAGTACTCTGTAATTTTAGCATTTTGATCTGTAATATGTCTTCTCTTTTTGTGTCGTGGCACAATAGTTGAAGTGTGTTTCTCACCTTCAGCTGGCATGTGCTGATGGTGGTGTTCGCGGTATATACTATTCCCGGAATATTGTCACGTGAATCTTCTTCCATACAGCATTTTGTGAGCTTCTTTATTGCGAACACTACCGCCATACTCTTTTTTATCTGGCCATAATTTAGCTCGGCTGGTGATATTGACCAGACTGCGTGTGCAATCGCTTTCTTTAACCATCATCCGATTTGTGGCAGCTAACTGCACCATAGTTCCGAGTGTCTGCCGCTAACACGATTTCCACGAATAGGATCCTAATGAGTTATTAAGAGGTCGGAACTAAACACCCACTCCACATCTTCAAAAAACATCTGACAATCTTTGTACCATTTATACTTGGCCCGTAGCTCATTAAACGGTTCACGCACGCTGTGCACGTGCAGCGGAAATTGTAAGTAATGGCTGACGCACCCTGAACAGTACTCTCAGTTCAGTTCAGTTGAGGAACTGTGATTCGGGAAACGAAGTGCGGTGAATCCCGTTGTCACGATTTGCGTCCTCAGAATAACTGCAATTAAACGGTAAAAATGAAGTCGAATGCAAAAAGAATACAAAGAAAATAGAATTAAAACAGAACTGCACAAACTATTCGGCTAGGATGAAAATTAACAGCCAGATGCAAGAAACCGAATAGAGGAACGGCACTGATTGCACATGTCTGCTAGAGTCTCCAACTACTGTTGTGGACCATCCCGAGGTCCCCATCCACGAACACGACACGCACCAGTCAGCCCAAGCCTCTCAGTAAATTTCGTCATGCCACCTCATCGACTGGCCGCGTGGTGCAGCCATGGCTTATAATATACACCAACGAACTCGTTAAACGTCCATATGGGGACATGACCTAGCCAGAGTATGCAGTTAAGATTCGGCAAAACTCGTGTAAGGCCTCCGAAAACTCGTCAAAAACCAATTGGCGGACCTCAACCTCGCTCGCACATTGTTTCCACTCCCTCGCGATGTGACTGGACCTTAAGGCGATGCAATGATTTGCGTGCCTCAGCGATCTATTGGGCTTTGCTGGGTGGTGCTTTTGCACCGTCAGAGCCACTCTTACCAGATTGGTCAGTGGCTAGAGACTTAACAAAGTTAGTTTTCTGCCCCTCCAGATGGGGTTGAAGTGAGGCTGCCTCCTTACTTCATAAAACGGACTCTGTAGTCCCGTGACAAAACCCCGTTGCCTTGCGGTCAGGTTCTTGAACCATGGACTTTGGTTGCGAACCTTAATCGCTCTTCCATCTATGCATGGGCAACTTGACAGTATCCTGCTTACGCAACACAACTCTATGTATTCTGCACCATTTCTTGATGCTCCGACCATCGCAGATAATAAACGGCGCTCTAACTGCTGCATCGAGCAAGGTGAATTGGGGTTCGGATGCTACTGCTCAAGCCTTCCCATCTTCTTATTTCCCTCTTGCACTTTATCATCGTTACCGTCCCGCTCCAACTTCACTTTTCTCCCCCTGTTTTCCACCCTCCAATTTTTGGTTCTGCTCCATCTTGGTTCAGTAATCGTTTCTAGTCTCAATTCACACGCAATCGCAGGGCGTCGCTCCAGTCCATACGACAAGTTCATATCCAGCCAAACTGTCATCGTCAATTTTTCTGCCTCTGTTTGGAGCCCTCGATATTCCCTAAGACTGATATGCCTCAGTATGCCCACATTATTGCGAAGTAGCTAGCGGGCAGCACTTGCTAGAACACTGGAGACCCAATCCATCGATATCTGCTGTCTATCAGAAACTTGCCTGCCGGATTTGAGTTCTGTGATTACCCTACAATCCTCAACGTGCGACACTGGTGGTATTTATGCAACGCAGTTTGTTTGTTACCTTATTCCTCAATGCTTTTGCTTTACTTGCCATCTGATATCATCTTGGCTAGGCCAGCACAACCGTGATTCGTAATATCCGCCTACGGACGTACTTGATCGATTTTGTACGGATCAGCGGACTTGGCGGGATGACCTGTGTCCAAAAGATTTTCGGCGATGGCATAGTTGGTAACCTTTCGACCTCCGTTTCCTAGCTAGATCGGACGGCGTTCTTTCACCCTTCCGGATAAGCGCTTTGTCTTACGACCAACACATCCTACCCCACAAGCACAGGTGAACGAGTAGATACACTGATTTGGTATAGACAGGCAGCTTATTCATTCCTCTGAACGCACCATTGCTATGATTAAAGCTGTTGTTGTTATCATTGTCACCGGTAACTTGCGTCAAGGATCCACCGCACCTCGCAGGGATCACAGTTGATAAACTGGTAAACTGAACTGAACTGATTTGTATATTTGTGAATTGCAGTGTCTGGAACAGAGTTGGTGGGTCCTTTGTGAGTTGTACTAACCTCAAAGATATTCTTCTGTACCACACGCCGGCAGGCCTTACCGGCGCGTCGCTGCCTTGCAAGCATAACCCATCGCGCTTGGGCCAAGGATACTGCGAGTGTTGCCTAGTCCGTTACACGGACTCGAACCCGTGACCTCCGGGTTGCAAGGCAGACGCCTTGTCCTTTCGGCAAAAAGTCGGCCTTATGACTCACTTGTGCCGTTTGTGAATTTTCCGGTTCATATTCCGGTGTGACTGCGATTTTTTAGTTTGTCTCACATCAGGGACCGCCTATCTGATTGATTGAATCGTCAAAGTACCTGCCTTTGCCTAAATATTGTCATACCTCTTTGCAATGATACAACTGCCGCTGCTTTTCCCTGTTTCTCAACTATTTTGATTCATCTTTTTGTGCAGAGAACAATGGGAGCTGCTTCAACACTACGGCGACTCCCACCATTTATGTGCGGAATGTCGCGCACAGCAAAGGATCTCATGCTTCGCCACCGCTGATCGGCTCGGGTTACACCGATTTCAAGAGCACCCCACCGAAGTTGCAAATGATCCTGACCCGTGGCTTCCTGTGACCATTAAAATGGCACCGGTGGCTGCCGATGAGTTGGCAAGGCGAAGAGGAGATGCGGCGTATGCTGGCGTTGATAGAATCAGTGGTATACTCAGTAAGTTTGGCGCGACCACCACTCGGAGCATTCGCTGGGACACCATACATATCAACATTTTTACCGGGTTTTATTACTATGCACTTAACATGGATCTAATTCCGGTTCATTTACTTCAGTTTGTTTTTGCCAGTTCGTTTTTAATCACAAGTACTACTGACACAATGTCATTGTCACTAGGGAGCAAAACCATCAGAGTCCTCATTAATTCGCCCACTGTTTTGCTGCCTACCTACACGCGAGCTTTATCTCATTTGTCCAATGTATTGGTTGTTTGTTGTATGTTTGCCAAGTCTCAAAGTCATTGCGTTTAATTAACAGCGCCATTGTCTCAGGTTCGGTATTCGATTCCCGAACTTTGATTTTCTTACCTGAACATCTGAATTGTTCCACGTACACTCAACGGTAGACATTGACGGGCTTTCTTTTAATTGAGTCTGTTTAACGATCCCGTGCATGTCTTGTAATCCGAAGGCACAGGTTCGAGCCTGCGTAGGGAACCGCACGATTCTCGCAGTGTCCTTAGCCAATTCGCGACTGTTGATGGTTGCGCGGCAGGTACTGCGCGTCGGTACTGCGTACCGGCGTGCTGCTAATACGATTTTCTTTTTCTCGTTATTGTCATTTCATACTTGTGGTGACATGAGAAAAGTGACACGATTCACAGTATCCGGATGCCAAAACCAATGTCTCTGGCCAACTGCGCACTGTCTTCCACTTGCTAAGTTCAGTTATGAGCGTCTGCGATGCGGCCAGACGTAGAGGTTGTCGTGTAGCCCTCCGGCAAGCAAGATGACTGGGCCGCGATCACGAACTCATTGATTAAGATTACGCTGGAATATTTATAGAGTATATACACTATTTACAACAGTCCGTCTCAATGGCTCATCCCTGTTATTTGAATTATGTCGCTGGCTCCGTTTCCATTGGTTTATGCGTGCTCGCCACGTTCACTCTGTCTAAATCACCTTGACTTAACTTCCTTAGTGGATGTACGATTGGCGGGATTGGGCCTGCGAGCTTCTTTCCTCGGTCCAATGCGACAAGCCTTGGCTCAAAGGTGCACGAGTATGCGCTCGTTCGCCTGCGGGCGCCTGATTGGTCACTTGCATGTTCAGTGGATAGTTGCAGGCTGGACGCGACCACAGGCCAACTATTCCCTGATTGGCTGACCAATCTGCTTCCGGCAACATGCTCACTCCATATCGGTCTGGCCTGTGACATTCGATCGGCATTATAGCGTTTCCAATCGCCAGCATTTCCAGCTCCTATCACAGAAGTCACCTCAGTCTGGTCGGGTTTATGGTTCCTTAACGTTGCTTTGTTCTTAAAATATTTGAAATTTGTTCATCGGGTGGTTTAGGAGTAGTAGTAACTGTTTGTTTGAATCGCGACACGCAGTCACTATATTGTGACCTCTGTTCACATTGAAGTTGACCTCTGTCATTCCGATCTGATAACCCTATGAGGGATAGAAGTGTTTCGTCATTGCTGCAAACACGAGCCCCCCACAACCGACGGTTTCGTCCACCTTTTGCTTCGTCAGGTGAAGATAACCTGAGCTGGGAGTGGATCTCGGGGCGTACTAGTTAACACCTGAAGCCTTGATCACCAAGACACTAACATCCGTGATCAGCACTTGGCACGACGGTTTGGAATTCAAGATTGGATTTGGAGTACTGGCCGTGTACTTGGACTGCGACAGTAGTCAATATTGTGACCTCAGTCATCGCGGTCCTTGGGATCGTAATCAGAGTGAAGTGATTGACTTTTTACTATCCTCTAACTGAGCTTTGTGCCCTACTCGTTATCATTGAAGCCCTTTTTCGAGTTTCTCCATCTCCACGTCAGATCGTCTTATCAATCTGTCGCTGCTTTATTTATCGGGGCCCTATCTGTCTCTGCTCAATCTCGAAGGTTGTTCTGTTTATAAGAAGTGCCGGCCTTAAAGGTCAAGAGACTGCCTTTTTTCCGGAGATCGCAGATTCGAGCCTGCGTAATGGATCAGGCGATCGTCGCAGTATACTTAGCCTTCGTGCGGCAGCGAAGTGTTGGTGCTGCGTACTCGGCATACTACTAATGGCTTGCGTTTACCTGCCCATGACTGCTGTGTGGTTTTAGGGTGTAAACATCCACAGAATAAGTCAACAAACCAGCGATGATAACTGACGCAGACAGCCCAAGAAAACAAAAGGTGGAGAGGTAAGGAGTGGTTGAAAGAGGGCTCCGAATGTGCGCAGAGTTTCGAGGAGCCTACGCCGACCGGCTGTAACAAATAGTGGTGTCGAAAGTAAGCCGAACAAAAGATTAGGGCTCTTATAGGGAGCGTATCGGTGTGGGTAGGGCGTCTGCGATTAGCGACCTCCAGTTGCTTATTCCGTGGACCCGTTGTCAGGATTTATCGGCATATTAGAATTATTTTGTGAAAATTTCGGAATCATCCAATTTAATTTCTGAGCCTACAATTTCTGGATCATATTTTTGTTTGGTATCTTTCTACCAGATTTCGTAGTTCCGTTTAGCAAATTCTACTTTCCCACTTTACGGCACTTTTACACCAACTTTCCAAAATGCCGAAGAAATCACCTTGTAGTTCCTGCTCGAAAACTGTTGGAAACACGGCGAAAGCTCTTATCTGCTTTGGTTGTTTTGCTAGGTTTCATATTTCGTATTTTGGATTACTTGCCGATTCCTATCGCCTTCTGCGTTCCATCCAACATGATTTTATCCAAATTTGTGCAACTGATGTCGCAGTCTAAGAAAGCCGGATAAAACTTTAACGTCTACTGATGCAGGTCACGACCAAAAACGTTTAACTGTAAGCAGTTCTAGACCTACCGTCCCACAAATGGGCCTAGAGTTCATCCAAGGTTCAATCCAGCTTTCCTCCCATTCAACGCGCTTTGACAACTCATTACCTCGTCATCTTAATGCTTCCGGAGACACGACATTAACTGAGGCTGCTGATCCATTGATTTTGAGCTTTGCTAGCTCAAATGACGCAGATGAATGCCCGACGCATGAGGAGCCGTGGAAAACTCAACGACAGAAGCAACCTCAAAACTGAGAAAAGCTTCCTTCTACTGACCAATAACAGGCTAGATCAAGCAGCGCTGGAGTCCATCCTTCTCCCTTAGGAACCGCTTTAAATCATGAGAGGCGATTAAATCTGCTAATTTTTCACGTGCCTGGGTCCAAAGATCCAAGTCTCAGACACGCTATCATCATGACGTAGAGTTTCTACAGAGCCTGGTTGATAGGCTCCTCGATGTGGGTGAAGATGGAGTGAAATTGGAGCAAGTCATTCTCCTCGGCCCAAACACTGCTAAGAAAGACCACCGACCTATGCGAGTAACTTTTGCTGACAAGGCCAGACCGAAGCTAATGCTGTCTCGGCTGGGTCGATTGAGAGGCGATAGGGCGCATATTCGTCCGGATATCGATCCAGCTGACCGGGAACGCCCCGAGTGTACTATCATCGAGCTAAAGCGGCGAACTGGTAAGGGCGAAACAAACTTACGTGTTGTAAATTTTCGTGTAATTACAACACGATCGCGAATTCGGATAACTCGGTCCCACACTCTTCAGTCTCGCCCAGTAGTTCTTACCACAGCCTGCGAGCAGCCTTTACAAGCGTCTGCAGTCTTATGAATAAGCGTGATGGGTTGTGCCAATTCGTTGCTTTCGTGTGACCCGATCTAATGGGACTCGAAGAGATGTGGTTGAACGATGAGGTACTCTACCAGAAAGAAGCTTAGTGGCTACTTGTGTTTTCGTTATGATAGGCTATCGAATACCCACGGTGCCATCTAGCTCTACATCCGATCTTTTCTGTGTGCGAGACTCCCGAGCGTCCACCAAAGCGGATAACCTTTGTGAGCAGTTGTGCTGCTGGATCCCTCTCAGACGCGGAGAGCTGCTCTTGTGTGCATTCTGTCGCAGTCCCCTGAATCGTTGTTTGGATTGGCTGCCGCATCTCCGAGACCACATGAATCGCCGTTAATTTCTACTCAAAGACGATTTCAATTGTCCTCGACTAGGCTGACCTGTAGCTGAACTTATCACCGGTTACTTTGACGTCGAAGCAAAGTTCGTTGATATGGTACTTGAAACGGGGGCAGCACAGCATATCTGCCAATCGACGCGCCTAACACCGCGCTCAACTCCATGATGCTTAGACTTGATGTTAACCAGCTGTGAACAATCTGTGTATGACATTGGGATTCTGGGGTTTCTGGCAGCAAACGATCACTCAGTTCTTATTGCCAACATGGAGCTGCCACTGCAGCAATCCCATAGACTGCAGCCAGCTTATAACTACCGGAAGATGGATTTTGACGGCCTGACTCGAGCCGACAGCCAAGTGGATTAGTTTCTGCCGCAATTCGCATCTGCTGTAGCTTGTTGACCGGTTATAAAGAACGGAATAAATTCATTGTGTAACCAATGTGTGCCTCGCAAGTGTAGAAAAATCGGACCAGTCAAGCCACATTGGTTCGACAATGAATATGGTAAGCTTGCTCGACAGCGGCACAGGCTATGGGACAAATTCCTTATCTCTGGCTCGGACGACGATTATGAGATGTACAAAAAACGGCGAAATATATGCAACGATGTGAAAACCAGAAAGCGCAGCCATTTCGAAGAGCAGCTCGCAGCCACAGCAGAAACCGCCCCAAAGCGAATCTTTGCGTACGTGAAGCGGCGCCTGAGGCCGACAAGTAACCTACCAGTGATAGAGGATGAGAACGGACAGCTCCTAACCTCCAGCACTGAGCGTGCTTCCGCATTGGCGGCGCACTTTGCTTCTGTGTTTGCGGGTGACCAGATGTCTATACCGAGTTCGGCGTGCACCACACTTACCGAACTCGACAGTCTCGACTGTGATGTGGAAGAGGTGCGTCAAATACTCGGCAATCTTGACGGTACCAAGCCTGCTGAGTCTGACGGGCTCCACCCATGATTCTCAAATCCCTATCAACCACCATCTCGCCTCCCTT